CCCACCCCTATATGGCCATGTGTTTCGGGCATTGTGGTGCCATCCCAGCCCCAGGGGAGGGTCTGATTAAGTTTATCACAGTGGTTCTGTTCCCCTGCCAGTGACTAGTTTGGTTGTAAATATGTGACACAATGCTGCCAATGCAGTCTAAGGGGAGGTGTGATAGAGTCTTCTTTGCTTCTATGGAGATACTCTTCTTCCTTTACACGTTGTCATGGAATTGGCCCTGTCCTACAATCTAGAGGGGACAGAGGCTGCAGGTAATACCAATATTCCCAAAATGAAGATGCCAAGGGGGACAAATCTGGGGTCTTGACGTCACCGAGCTGCTGACTTAATTAAAACTGGGCCCTTCCTGCCTCAGGTCTTTTTATGAAAAGATAATAAATTGACCTTCCTAATAGCCAATGCATTATGTAAGATAATAAATTGACTTTGTTGTTGCATAAAAACCAGTTTGATTCACAGTATTATGTTTCTTGCAGCCAAAAGACATTCTAATGGATACAACTTCCCATCAATATTTCACTACCTCCCCCAGATTAATTAGATTGGAGATTGACTCTAGTTCCAGGGATGGGCCTTGATTTGTCTAAATCAATCATTGTAATCCTATCCCCTTTACCTGTCTGGAACCCCAACAAAGAACGTGAAATTCAGAACATGGCGTTCTCTTAGCCACAGGGATTGGTTCGGGAATGGACATCTGACCTAATATGAACCAATATAAGTTTCCTGCTTCCTTCTGAGAAGTTCTCTTAGGAGAAAGTCATGGGAAGAGATATTCAGGTATTCCTTCTGTCTCTCTCTCTCTCTTTCTCTCTCAATGTAAATAAGAAAGCAGGTAGCTCTGATTGCTGATAGCTGCATTCTGCACCATGAGGGAAGCCAACCTGAGGACCAAGTTCACACCGTAGATGGCAGAGTAGAGGAATGGAGACCGTGTGGTCCCTGGTGACTTTGTTGAGATTCTGGATCAACCAATCATCTGCACTTAACTATTTTGCGAACCTTCTGTTTAAGCCGGTTACTGGCATCTAAAAGTATCCTAGAATGATGGTCCATCCTCTCACACGCTAGCAGTTACCAAATAATACTGAATTGATCTCTCAAACATCCCATGAACTTGCTGTCTCTTCTCCATCCCTACTGCCTTAGCCAATCCTGGGATATCTCACCCGGATGCCCCCAAATACCTCCTCCCTCACTGGCCTCCAGCTCCATCTCCCTCCAAGTCACTCTCTACCCACTGCCGTATAAGCTTTAACAGATGAAGATCTGAGTGCATCACTTCCGTGCTTCAAGCCCTCCTCTCTACCTGGCTGTCTCTAATTCAGTCTTTAAGACTTATTTCAAGCCTCTTACGGGAATTCTTTTCTGACACTCCTCAGGCTGTTCCATTGCTTCTTTGGCCAACCATGATATTCCCTTGTAAATACTAGTATACCGCATGACAGCTTTTGTCTTTCCCTCACTGCCTACTGGACTGCGAGAGGTCCATGTTCCCAGAGTTAGCAGACACGGGGAGCATTGTTGAGCATACACATACCAGATTTAAGTTTTATCTAAACTTGTCACATACGCCTAGAAGTAGGGAGCGAACCAAGTAAGAAACTTGGTGACATGTCAAGAACACTGGACTGCAACCCACAGAGCCTGAAACTTTGCGTTGATTTCTCCCACTTGCAAGATGTGGGGGCATCAAGGAAATTCCTGGGCCTCTACACAACTCCATTCCCCATCTGTAAAATGGGAAGACTGCAGTCATGTCGGTGGTAACATGGCCTGCTGTCTCCCTTTTTGGGGGGATGGCTATTTGGACACTTTTCATTCACAGTAAAGATGCAAAAGAGGGAAAGCTACTAATACGATGGAAAGCAGAAAGCAAATGCTCAACGCTTTCATAATGAGTTTATTGTCCATAATTTATAGCATAGGGAACAGAATCATTTTACCAAGATGTGGACTCAAGGAGAATGATTTTGGTCATTAGAGGTGGCTTCAAAGCCCCTCCAGACAGCACTGTGAATGAACAAACTACGTTGTGTAAAGTACTCTTCCTTGGGGGTGGTCAAAACATGGAAACGTAGGTTTGCTCTGTCACTGGAACAGCTTGGCTTTGGCTGTTCTACCTCCCCGTGGAGAGGGAGACAGAGCGGGGCGGGGAGTGATTACTCCTCAAACAGAGAGTGATTTAACACCACCACTGGCTATGTGACAGATAAACTACTGTGCCCAAATCACTAAGCTTGGGTTTTTCCACCCACATTGATTTGGATGCTTGCACATGACAACAGCCACATTTGTTGGTGACAGGGATTCAGGGGCCTGGGCACTGCAGCTAGCTAGAGAACACAGACATCTCCAGGCAAGACATGGCAGCCAGATAGGCAACTTCTGCCCCATCACGGACTGCAAGGCACAGGAGGCAAAAGGATAATGGCTTTCAGCCCCTGGAGACTTGGTGTGGCATTGGATCAAACTAAGTTTTCACCTTTTCATCACACTGCTGGTACGCCTTCCATCTCAAAGTTTGGGAAGTCACTAAATGGGATGGAAATGCGGTCTTCTGGCCAAAAGAGCAGTCTGGAGCCTGTGGCTGGCTGGTTTTATTTTTGGATCAAAGGGGACCTCCATCAAGCCTCTTTGTTTTATTCCGAACCTCAATATCCAGTATAGAAAGGAGAATCCACAGCATCTTGCGGGGGAACCTGTACTTTCTGGCCAGATGGATCAAGATGTGAGTCCCAGCTTCACCACCATCTAGTTAAGGGACCTTCAGTAACTTACTTGGGTTTTCCATCTGTAATATGGGAAGAGTAAGAAATACTTGCTCATTTCATTATGTCACCCATTCAACAGACATTTACTGAGTGTCTCCTATGTACCAGGCAATGTCCTAGATCTGAGTCTACAAAGGTGAGTGAAACAGACAGAGCTCCTGTCCTCATCGAGCTTGTGAGTCTCTTGGGAGAAATAAATCACAGGCAAAAGCACTGAGTACTGTGCCTGGCTTTTAACAGTTTTCAGTTGACCAGAAATGTAATTCTTGAAATTCAGTGCCGTTTGATATGTGTTAATTCCTTTTTCATTGATCCCTTTCCTGTCTCAGGGGCTTTGCAAATGATATTCTATCTGCCTTGTTCTTTCCTCAGCAATTCACATGGCTTTCTCTCTTGCTTTATTCACGGCTGTACACAAATGTCACCTCCTCAGAGAGGCCATTCCTAATCCCCTCTTCAAATCGCCCTCCCTTCTCTCGCATGTTCTATCTACTTACCTTGCTTTAAACCTGTTCTTGATGGGTTTAAAAATCATCTATTAGTGGGGGCGCCTGGGTGGCTCAGTTAAGCGTCTGACTCTTGATTTTGGCTCAGGTCATGATCTCAGGGTCGTGAGATCAAACCCTACATTGGGCTCCACATTGGGCTCCACACTGGGCATGGAGCCTGCTTAAGTTTCTCTCCCTTTCTCCCTCTCCCCCTGACACTCCCCCCCTAAAATTATAATAATCTATTAGTGATAAGTTCCTCTTAGATTTAGAGCAAATTTCTGTACTAAAGTCTCTACAATATAATCACATTTTTAAAAGACAGGCAGATTTGGAAACATTTATAATGAAAGATTTACGAATGACCAATAAGCCTACGAAAAGATGCCCAGCATCACTAGTCATCAGGGGACGTTTTTCCAGGACTACTACTACTAAGCATTGGCAAGAACAACTGGAACACTCGTCCACTGCTGATGGGGGTGCAAAATGGTGTAGAAACTTTGGACAATACTTTGGCAGTTTCCTACACGATTAAACTATACATTCACCTTACAACCCAGCAAACCCACGCCAAAAGAACTGAAAACATACATACTCTAAGGACTTTTATATGAATTCGTTTATAGCAGCATTATTCATAATTCATAAATTCATACTTGAATAACAGCCCAAATGTCTATCAACTGATGAACAGAGAAATAAAATGTGATACAGCCATACAAGGGAATACTACTCAGCAATAAAAAGGAACAAAGGACCAATACATGCTACAACACGGATGAATCTCAAGAACATCATGCTAAATGAAAGAAACCAGACTCAAAAGCTACACGCTGAATGGTTCCATGTACATGACATTTTGAAATCAGATGGGTGGTTATCTGGGGCCAGGAGTGAGGGAGAGGGTTGACTGCAATTAGGCACAAGGGAATTTGGGGGCGGTGCTGGAAATACCTTGGGTGTGGTGGTGCTTACACAACTGTACACAACAGCTAAAGTTAGGTGTTCAGATAGGTGAACTTTGTTGTATGCGACTTATGCCTTTTTTTTTTTAGATTTTATTTATTTATTTGGCAGAGAGAGACACAGTGAGAGAGGGAACACAAGCAGGGGGGCGGGAGAGGGAGAAGCAGGCTTCCCGCTGAGCAGGGAGCCCGATGCGGGGCTCGATCCCAGGACCCTGGGATCATGACCTGAGCCGAAGGCAGATGCTTAACGACTGAGCCACCCAGGCGCCCCGTGACTTATGTCTTAATAAAGCTGTTACCAAATTTTAAAACATATGGACAGCAAATGACTTTATGCTTATCTCTTGAGATGGGATTTGGGTGCTTTTTGTTTTCTTCTCGTTGCGCATCTAAATGTGAAATTTCCACAATGATTATGGAGTGTTTGTGTCGAGAGAGAAAAAACCGACAATAAGATGCCATAAACATAAATAATTGGGTTATTCCACAAGGAACCTATTGTTGATGTTGATTCAACATCGCTTGCTTGTAATGAAGCCCATTTACCTCCTTCTCATCTGTCTTTCCTCAGTGGCACTTCTCAGGGGTGAGCTGAGGAAACGGATGCAAAAAGGTACAGAGCTTAATAGCAATGCTTTGTCCACCCAGCTCTTAGTTTGGCTCTCACCTGGGTTTCTGGATGAATACACAGTAGACTAATGATAGGGGGCTCTCGTCCTCCTTTGCCAGCTCAGCCCTCCATTCCAACCCAAATCAACTCATGCGTCTTCCAGGCCCCAAGAGAAGGTCCTCAGCACAGAGCCGGGCAGATTGTGGTTTGTGGGGTCCAGGCCGGGCACCCGCCTCCAGCTCACGTTGGTCTGTTGAGTGCCGCATGGCCTGGGTGAAGTCAAGAGGCCATTCATCAGTGGAGACCCCCGCTTAGAATGACCGCTCATGCTGCACGTGGCAGGATGGGACATAGAGTCCCTCCAAGAGTCCTCCGAGGTGGGGGTGCTCAGTGTCAACAGGTCTCTGGCCCTTTTCACCCATCACACATCCAATTCGTCTTCAGACTTTCCGCCTGTGAAAGGGCAGTCACCTTAGGAGACCCAACCAGCCTGTAGGCGAAGGACGGCACATCAGGAGAAGTCTGCGTTGCTTACCGTGTGTCTTGGGATAGCCGGGCAAGGCTCCTGACAGGGTCCAGGTGTTGCGACAGAGGATTCCAGTGAGGATAATAAAGCTACAGTAATAAAAATAACTTCATATCATCCCATGGAGGGATCATACAATTTTCTAGCCACTCTAGTGAAGAAGTAAAGCCCAGCGGAAGCTCAGAACAGTGGGGTCGGCACAGGGAAGTGAGAGGAATCACAGCGTTCCTTGACCTCAGCTTCGTCACCCATCAGTGCCGAGTTTGGAGAGATCCTGAGTTTCTAACCTGGGGTCTCTGTCCTTAGGGCCACACAGGCATTATTTTTAGGAACTACTTCCAATATCTTAAAACTCCACACATTATATTCACAATAATCAACATAAGGATACAACCCAAATGTCCACCAATGGATGAATGGCTAAACCAAATGTGACATATAAATACAACGTAATATTATTCACCCTTAAATAGAAGGAAAGCCTGGCATATGCTACAGTACAGATGAACCATGAACACATTCTGCTCAGTGAAATAAGCCAGACACGAAAGAACAAATACTGTTTGATTCCACTTGTGTGAGGTACAGAGAGTAGTCAAGTTCATTGACACAGAAAGGAGAATGGTGGTTACCAGAAGCCCGGAGGAATGGGGAGTTAGTGTTCAGTGGGTATACAGTTGCAGTGTGGGATGTTAAAAAAAATTCTGGAAATCTACAGTGGTGATAGTTACACACCAGTGTGAATGTATTTATGGCCACTGAACCGTACACTTAGAAATGTTAGCAATGGTGAGTTTTATGTTGTGTATATTTTAAAACATGCACAAAAAAACAAACATTCTACACATACCCGCAAGGCCTCACCCCTTCATGAAAGCATAAAGTCATGCTTGTTACCATTCAGATCAAATCTCCGAATGGGCAGGCATAGCCTTTGATTGATTTTTAAAAAAAAAATAACAGCAAAATATATGAATTATGACCTAGTACAGCTTTTTTGGCAGGCCCAATCTTTCAAAGCATGGCACCTTTCGGGGGAAATAAAACAAAGGGGCCTTGGTGGAAAGGTTGGCTGGGGTGAGCACTCTGGTCTCCCCCCCCCCCACTATAAAGGCTGTGACTTTGTGGTTGGGAAGCCACGCTAAAGGAGAAACACACACGGGAGGAGAGACCAGACGGTGTCTCTGGACAGATCCCTCCCACCCAGCCACAGGGACAAGCATTGGGGTTTGAGATGGCCCTTTCTCTGGCCAATTTTTAGAGCCTGGAGACAGAGTTCTTCACAAACCCTCTGGCCTATGTGACACTTAACACAGAGCACCAGAAATGGGGCCCACAGGTGCACTAGCTAATGGGGGACAGGATGGCATACCTCTCCGGAGACCCTCCTTCATCACCCCCAGACACCAGCACCAGGCTCTCGGGCTCAGCACATGGGGTATGGCTATTGTGCCCAGAACAGCTCAGTCTGGATATTACAAGAGTAGACACAAGAGACTCCCATTTCCCAGACTGACAGCTTGAAGGGATCCTAGCTCATGAGTGTTCTGGTTCACTGTCAGGCAGAAAACCTTTGTAGGAACTTCGGTTTGCTCCCCATTATGCCCAGTCCACTTCCCTGAGGGGCAGGATGCAGTGTGGGAAGAAACCATCAGAAGACAAATTCTAATCCAAACCCTGCCCCTCTGTGGCCTGTGACCTTGGCCCCTTGCAGGCTCGGTTACTCAGTTTGTGGGACAGAAACAACCTCGTTCGCATGGATCTGATGAGACAGTGTCTGGGGACGTTCTCGGAGAATGTGCTGTGCAACCATTCAGGAAGTTTCACCTGCTCCTAATTCCAGTACTTTAAAGTGGAGTAAAACAGGGTTAAGTCATTGTGTGTCCCTTATAGAAACCATCAAGCCTCAGAGCTGCGTCGTCTGGCCTGACCCCTGGAAATAGTCATTTGCTATGCACAGAACATTCTAGCAACATTGTGTTTTCTATAGAGAGGAGGGGGGAAATGTCCAGTGAACTTCAGATCATCGGGGCCATGCAGGATCACTGAGGCAATCCCACTTCCTCCCACCTCACAGACAGAAGCCTCATTTCTCCAAGGTGAGGCAGGTGTGCTGGGTGATAGCTAGAGAAAACCAAGGGCCTCCTGGTTCTCCACCCCTTTTCAGAGGACAGGAGCGATCTGTACCAGGGAGGGGTTTCGAGGTTGGCCTCCAGGAGGCCCCCAGGGCACCTGAGCTCTAATTGGCCTACCCCCCTTCCCAGGCCTGCGGGAACAGGGATGCGAGGCCTTGGGGAGGCTTTGTGCTCCCAGCTCCAGTGGGCTGATGTATTTCCAGAGGCGGAAGGTACGTACTGTGCTTTCCTTTCCTCCTGTTCTGGAATAAATAAACGGACGCCTCCACATGGCCTGACCGCCGCCTGTGGCCTTGTAAGTTCTCGCCTGGGCCTGGGTGAGGGCAGTGGGCCCTATGAGGAGAGGAGGGAGGACAGCACCCTTTCTTCTTTCCTCGGGGCTTGGACCCAAAGGGCAAGACCCAGAGCGTCTGCAACGGACACTCCCTGTGCAGCTGCTCGGACATCGTGATGTCCCGTTGTAGGACCCTGGGAAGAAGAGAATGGCCCAGAACCCCTCTTGGAACAAACCTACAGGGCGTTGGCAGGAGGGGCCCAGCGTGTTCTCCCAGGAGAGGGTGAAGCAGAAGGGACTCGGGTAATACAGAAGGGACTCCAGGACACGAACACAAAGCGTCACACGGACGGAACAGCTTTGCTTGTTGCTCCTTCCCAGCGGCGTCGCTAGGATTTACCCAGTTCCCTGGGCCCCGCCTTAACCGGCCCTTCTGGAGACAGCCGGAGCTGTCCCTGACCCTGGCGTCAGGCTTCCGGGCGATGTCCAGCTGAGAGGCCAGGCGGGTCACACCTCCTCTCCGTCCGCATCTGCAGAAGGGGAGACAAAGAGGACCTACTCCCAAAGCGTTGTGAGGATTCAGCCAGACGGTCCGTGCGGGGTCGGCCACACGAGGAAGGGTTTGGGGGCAAGTCGGCCGCCCCTCTGAGGGGGAAGGCAGTAGAGGGCCTCCCCTCTACTGGGGGGCCACCGCCCTGTAGCGGGGAGGGAGGCATGTGGCACGGCCTTCTCCCACCACACCTGGCTGCTAACCCATCCCGGCGACCCACGTCCTGTCGGGCCCCCACCCCCCCAGCGTCCCCCCCGGGGTCAAGGGCCCGCCCTCCCCGTCCCACTCAGCTACCCCACGCCGGTATGGTGAGGGGTAGGGGGCCGCAGCCGGGACCCTCCCCGGCCAAGCCGTGGTGGGCCACCCGGGCCCCGCGCAGCGGAAGGCGGCCGGGCCGGGCCGCCCCGCTGCTCTGGCCGGACTCGGAGGGCAGGCCCGAGTCGCTGGGCTGCCCCTCCACGGAGACCGGGGCGCGCAGGAGCCCGCCGGGCGGCTCGGAGTAGGCCTCCCGGGGCCCGGCCCAGCGCGGCGGGCAGAGCGGCGCGCGGAAGGCGGCCTGGAAGCCGCGGCGGAAGTTCTCGTTGAAGTAGCCGTAGATGATGGGGTTAGCGCTGCTGTTGCAGAAGGCCAGCCAGTGCGCGAGCGGGAAGGCGTAGACGGTGACCAGCCGCAGCTGCGGCTCGCTGAGCTGGCCGTAGTCAGTGAGCAGCAGCAGCGCCCAGAGCGGCAGCCAGGACAGCGTGAAGACCAGCGCCACCATGACCAGCATGTGCACCACCCGGGCCCGCCGCCGCGCCCCCGGCCGGCCCTCCGGCGCCGCGTCCCCGCCGGCCCGCGCGGGCCCCGAGGCCTTGCGGAGCTTGCGGGCGATGCGCGCGTACATGAGCACGATGAGCGCCAGCGGCGCCAGGTAGATGTGCGAGAAGAGCACGGTGGTGTAGACCCTGCGCATGCCCCTCTCGGGCCAGGCCTCCCAGCACGAGTAGAGCGGGTAGGAGCGGTTGCGGGCGTCCACCATGAAGTGGTGCTCCTCGCGCGTGACGGTCAGCGTGACGGCCGAGGGGCACATGATGAGCAGGGCCAGGGCCCAGATGACCGCGATGGTGACCAGCGCCTTGCGCAGGGTCAGCTTCTCACGGAAAGGGTGCACGATGCAGCGGAACCTGAGGCCGGGGGAGGAGAGAGAAGCGGGCTCGGCCCCGGCCCCGGGGGAGGGGGGTCCCTGTCCCCGGGGAGAAGAGCTACCCCTAGGTGGGGGCTGACGGGGTGTGGGCACCGTGGGCACCTTCCAAGAGCAGCACAGGCGGTTTAGGTTCGCCCGCAAGCAAATCGGTTCTCACCCTGCGAGGGCGTCAGTAGCCGAGGAACAAAGGCAAAACCGGGAGGGGGTGCGTGGGGGAGGAACTGCGGGCAGCGTGGGAAACGTTCGTGTCTGGGCACTTCGGGGGCGTAAACTGATTAGCCGGCAGCTAGCAAAGGGATCAGTCTGCACATTCTGTCCTGGAGTAGGCTGATTAGGAAGGTGTATCAAAGAACATTTTTAGCTGTTTAGGGATTCTCCAGAAAACCCTGGGAGTTCAGGGGCGGACTCGACGTGACAGGCTGCCCCTATGTCATCTTGGCCAGCATCCTTGCCTGCCCGCCATGCTCTGGGGGAGAGTGCCCAAATGAGCCCTTAGTGCAAAAGCTCACTGAGGTGGAGGAGGGGAAGAGGACCTATCGCATGCATTTGGGTTAGTTTTACTGTGTGCAAACCTTCCTTGGCCCCTGGCTCCATTCCATCTGCCAACTCATGCTTTTATCAGAGAATCTGATGGAATCTGAGGCTGAAAGAGACCTGAAGTAGCTTGAGGTAGGGTGGAGATGGAGAGCTGGTAAGGCCTGGGCTGCCAGAGAACAGCAAGGAGGCTGCAGGCGGGGGTTGGGTGGAGTGGGGAGGGGGGTGGGTAGTGAAGGAGCAGGGCCACACTCTGACCGCCACCTCCCACCCCCCAAACTGGCTTTCCTTGCTCAGACTCATGGATAGCAGGATTCCTACTGGTCAAGAAACAAGGGCTGCCCTCAAGCTCCCATAGAACCCAGGAATCCCTAGTGAACCTTCACAGGAGCTGCCTCCAGGCCTTCTAGCCGAAGGTCGTGGTATTCTCTGCAGGTCCCCCAAGTGTAGAGGGCAGCCAGCCCCACAGCCCTTCCCTTCATGGCTCACGATTCAGCCCCAGCCTTCTGGTCAGTGCGACAGTGGTGATGGCGGCTCTTCCTAGTGCCGAGCCCCTGTCGGCCAAGGAGAACCCAGCCAGCAGCCCTCTCACCTTTCCACGGCAATGGCCACCAGTGTGAACACGGAAGCCGACACGGACATGCCCTGCACCAAGCCGCTCATCTTGCACGTGGCATTGTCAAAGGGCCACCCTGCAATGACAGAGTCCCCCACAGAATGAGTGCCTCGTCCACGAAGAGCCGGAGAGCTTGGGCCGTTTAGGCCAGTCCCCTCTGTGGCTCGGATCTTTCCTCCATGTCCTGCTAGGTGGTCATCCTCTGCTTACACACTTCCAGAAATGACGAACTGACCAGTCTACACCACTGGGGTCAGTTCTCACCGTTAGAGAGACAGTCTTTATATTGGCCAAGGATTTCTCTCCAGGACCTTTGTATCCAGCCAGGTCGGCCTGGCTTTCTGCTCCCATAGCCCTGCCTCAAGTTCTAGGCCAACAGTTCTCAACTGGCCCCTCACTAGAATCACCTGAGGGCTTTGAAAAGAGCCAGTGACCTGAGCCATGCCAGATCGATTACAATCAGCATCTCTGCAGGTGGGACCAGACATCAGTACTTTTCAGATCTACCCAGGGGATCTGAGTGGCAGCCAGAGCTGAGAACCACTGGGACAGAGCAAGCCTGACTCCCAGGTCGGGGAGACACAAGCAGCCCTAGCCCCTCCCGTGTCTCGCTCCGATTCCCAGGCTTCTGCTCTGTCCGGAGGCCGGGGCCCCACTTGGCCTCAGGCCTGGTAGCTGGATCCACATCTTGGTTCCTTGAGGCCATGCGCTGGTCACTGACTGGTGTCTCTGCCCCTCTAGGTCTGGGGGGCCCATCTGTTCTCGTCTGTTGTACCTGGCCTCAGGAGCCCTCTCCCAGGGCTGGGCCCCCTCTTCCCCAGCAGCCACCCCCAGTTACCTTTCTGCCTGCATGCTTACTGAGTGCCAGGCACTGTCTCGTTCCATCCTCCCAACAACCCTAATGTGATCTCCTGTTCACAGACGAGAAAGCTGAGGGGAGATGAGTTGGTTTCCAGTCTCTTTGCCCCTAAATCACAATGGGTGAGTGTGAGAGTTTGGTGTGGGTGCTGGGGAGTTTAAACATCATGGAAAGCCAACATCACCATGGCAAGCAGCCTGATTCTGTTTTGGAAAACTGGGTATGTGCCAATTCCCTGATTCGGCAAGTCCTCTCCCAAGTTCATGTCCCAGAGACATTGCCCCATAGTCCAGTTGTTTGTAGTGCTGGAGAGTGGGAGGCAGTGGGTGCTGGTAAATCAGCCCTTAAAAAAAAATTTTAAATTAAAAAAACCCTCTGATTTATAGCATTTGCCAAGTCCAATATCTCCCCATATGGCAACGTTCCTACTACCGCCATGACGTCACTGACACAGGCAGGCTGAGCTCTAGCACACCACTGTGTAGAGGCCGCCTGCATGTCCATCCCTGGGGGACCAGAGGGTAAAGTGTGGTGGACGCACCCTGAGGAGCAGAGAGGCAGCACTTAGCGGCCTCAGGTGAGATTTACGCAGGGCGACGTAAATAGGTGCCTCAGTGACAAAGGTCAGGGTCCCAGGGTCCTGGGATCAAGCCCCGCATCGGGCTCCCTGCTCAGCGGGGAGCCTGCTTCTCCCTCTCCCACTCCCCCTGTTTGTGTTCCCTCTCTCGCTGTGTCTCTCTCTGTCAAATAAATAAAGAAAATCTTAAAAAAAATAATAAAAAAAAAGAATAGCCAGGAAAACCAACAGATCCACAAGAAAAGCCAGGAAAACCCCGGCCCAGAAAAACAAGGGAGTGTTTGGGGAGGGGATGACATTGTTCTTTATCTTGATTGTGGTGGTAGCTCCATGACTTGTGTGTGTTCCTCAACATCTGTGGAAGGGTACACTAAAAAAAGGATTTTTGTGCATATTAAATTGTACCTGGCCAAAAATATTTAAATGTAAAACATGTTACATATTTGCAATGCACATTTTGTAAGAAGGCATACAAGTAAAAAGACACACGCTATGTTTAGTAGAATGTTTGCCTATTGGGCGGGGAAGGGACTATGTAGTGGGGTAGGGCTACAGAAGGGAAGGAATAAAAAATAAATGGGGGTCTTTGCAACACAGTGAAGTCACATAGCACCAGGAGCAGCAGATGTAAATAATTCAACCCTCTGCACCTTCATTCAAAAAAAAAAAAAAAAGAAAGAAAGAAAGAAAGAAAAGAGAAAAGGAAAGAAAAGCTGAATGAAGGTTTGTTCTATTGCAGAAGATTCTGTTAAAAACAACCTAGATACCCATCAGAAAGAGACTGGCTAAATAAATTATAGTACATCCATATAATGGAATGCTAAGCAGTTGCAAAAAAGAATGAAGAAAGCTTCTATTTATTAATATGAAATAACTCCATGTAAATTAATTTTAACGAATCCTACTTACGATATACACCCTATATTTTTAAGCCAAAAAAGAAAGTAAAGATGCAGAACTGACTGCTTGGAAAAGTCAGCATGTCCTTAATTTGCTTGTTCTTGCATAAAAATACTTTTGGAATGAGACACTAGAAATTGGCAATATTGATTTCCTCCCAGGAGAGAAGCTGGGAGGCCAGAGGACAGGGATGGAAGGGACATTTTTCACTGGAAACCTTTTGGTAGTTTTCGACGATTGCCATGTGAATGTGTTATTCCAACCATTTTTTAAACTTAGGCACGTGAAAAGGGCTGGCAGACACCACCTTAACCAACTAGTGACTTCGCCATGTCAGTGTTAACCGGCGCACGTGTATGCGCGTGCTGCTAGGTGTGTGCCCTTCTGCGTGCGTGCATGTGCGTGCATGCGTATGTGTGGGTCTAGGTGTGCTGGAAAGGAGAAGGGTGAGCAGTTTATGTCCAGCAGCCCTGGCGGAACCTGAGATCCAGCTGTGAGTGAAGGTCCCACCAGACAGAGCCAGGGCAGCCGAGGGAAAGCTGACTGTCCCGGCCCTACTTCCTGGGTCCTGCAACTTATAGAAACACCCGTCCGCCATTTGTGGGATGAACAGGCAGGAATGTGGAGGTCAGGTGGTCTCGTTCCGCTTCCCTTCTACCAAGTCCCTGCTAAATGGCCAGCCAGTCCCTACTTAGACACTCCTGGTGACAGGGAGCTCACTACCTGTAGGACAGAACTCTCTCTGGTTGGAGAACAACTCAGATTAGTGGATTATTAGGTCCACGTTCAGAGGAAACCTATGGGTTCTAGCTCTGCCCAGGGGAGCTACCCAGGAGAGCAAGACTGAATGGTGTAGTGGTTAGAAATCTGGGTGTGAGGACATGGGACTTGACACTTTAGCTGTGTAACTACAGACCTGTCCCTCATCACTCTGAGCATCGGTTTCCCCAACCCCCCAAATCAGGATAATAATAACAACGCATAATTCATTGGATTGTTGTAAGGATTGGGTAAGTTAATGCAGGAAGAGTTAAGTCATACAATGCCTGGAACGAAGAGAATAATTAATTCATTGTTTCTATTATTTCTGACCTAATCCCTCAGCCACAAGACTGTCTGGAGAGTTTGAGACAATGGCATCTTGGCCAAGAGACCAGGCCAGCAATGATTTCGGGGGGGTGGGGGAGGGGACTCCCACTGCCTCCATTGCCTCCACTCACCAGTGATGAGGTTGTCCATGAGAGTGGTGGGCATGCAGAAGATGCCCACCAGCAGGTCGCTGACGGCCAGGTTGAGGATGAACATGTTGGTGACAGTGCGCATGTGCCGGTTCTTGAGCACAGTGAAGCAGACCAGGGCATTGCCCACCATGCAGAGGAGGAAGATGAGCACGTAGGCCACAATGAACATGGCTGCCACTGGGCAGGAGTGCTGGTAGTAGGAGGAGAAGGTGAGGTTTACAGCTGGAGTGGCCTTGGCATGACTCCCATTCAGGCTTGGGGGCCAGCTGCTGTTAGGAGGCTGGGAGGGCTCCCCTAGAAGCAAAAGAGGATGCAGGTCAGGATTCTAGGCAAAGAAGAGATGACTGAATTCTTGCCACCGGTGAGACGCTTCTGTGCTCCAAATCTTGACCATGCCCTAGCACCCCGATCAGGTGCTCAACTCCAGTGACAATTGGATGCACTTTCAACCCACACAGCACGCAAACCTTGATCTCATACCTTCATCTCGTCTCATCTGGAACTCATTTCCCAGTGTTGGCTCTTCTCCATTCGCATACAGCCCATCCCCGTGCCCCATCTGGACTCCATCCTTCCGAGCCCTGCTGTCTGCCCCAGAGGCTGACCTTTAAGGACTCCATCGGCCAGGTTCCCTTGCCCTCTGGTTTCTGACCAGGTTTAGCCCGTGGAAAGCACTGAAGGAGATTGAAGGACTGGAGAAGACAGATGTCAGGGTATTCATCTCCCAACTCCCTCCCTGCCTGGCCCAGTTCTGCCTGTGGGGCTGTCTTTACGGATACAGCTCCTGGTAGGTGACCCTATTCCATGACTCTAGCTCTTTGGGGGGCCAGAGTGACACCGTGTTCTCTCCTTGCCCCAACAGCTTCCTGTGATTGCCAGTCCCATGGCTTACCCATCCCTTGCTGGTTCTCACCTGCCCCTCTCCCCTGTAAAGTCGCTCTATTAAACTCTTCGGATAAATGCTTTCTGAGTGCACCACCTGTTTTCTCCTGAAATAGTCTCCTGACTCTTATACCCTCAAAATGCTCATTGTCCCTCCTCATCTCCTCCACAGAACTTTAGCTGGAAAAGGCAAGAAGACAATAGAGGAAGGGACAATCGAAGAGGACTCTGAACCAGGGTGGGGAGCAAAGGCACACATTACATTTACCAGAAGACCATCCAAAGCCAAGGCTACCATGCATCCATCACTCTCTCCCATCATGGTGTCAGCTGCTTCATTTGCCCAGCATTTAACAAAGCACTTGCACATGCATTATTTTATCTAACCCTCCCAATTACCCCTTGAGGCAAACATGTTAGGTATGATCCCCGTTTGAAATGCGAGAACTGGGATCAGAGGGGTTCTGTGACATTCTCCAGGTGGCCCGGGGGTATGCCGCAGAGGTGGTCCTGCTCTGTGTGTCTCTGAATCAGAGCCCAGCTTTAGTGTGTGCTTTCCCAGCCACCTGTGGGAAGGAGCAGTTCCATGTCCAGGCACAGCTCCTCTGGGAAGCCATTAGATATGGTGACTCATGATGTTGTCTCATAAACTCTCCTCCTACCTTCCTCTGGGACTGGATGTGGCCTGTTCCAGGCGATGAAGAGTCTTTGGGGAGTCTTCTGTCACATCCAGAGCTCAGCTACTAGCCTGGAGACCCACCAGAGGTTTGGGATCTGGAGGCTAGAGACGCTCTGGGGCCAAGGAGCTGGCATGACCAGGGCTGGAGGGCCCAGCAGGAGCAGCAGGGGCACTGGGGGCAGGCGGAGGGCCTGCTGGTAGAGGTGGAGACGCTGGGTGTTCTGGATGAGAGAAAGTGACAGCCGCCTGCTTAGACGCTCCCAGGCATCCAGTTGCCCCCAAACATCTGTACTATGGAAGATGTCAAACATGCACTAGACAGAACGGTATCGTGGACATGTACAAGAGTATGCAGCTTAATGAACTATTACAAGAGAGAAGAGCACAAAGACCTCCCATGCATACAGCCTCCACCTTCACCAATGATCAACCTAAGGCTAACCTGGTTTCACCCACACCCCCACCTCTCTTTGGAATAGCACATCACTTCCTTTCATTCATAAACATTTCAGTTCGGATGGCTAAAAGATAGGACTAAAAAACCCCTCACGTAACCACAGTATCAGTATTACACCTAACAAAATTGACAATTATGTGTAATATTACCAATTACCCAGCATCTGCATTCAAATTCCCTGATCGTTAGATAATTTTTTAAAAGGTTGTTTATTTATTTATAGTAATCTCCATACCCAACGTGGGGCTCGAACTCATGACCCTGAAATCAAGAGTCCCATGCTCTTCTGATGGAGCCGATCCCATTAGCTGTTCACCAATGCTTTGGGCAGCAGCCCCTATGGATTACTGCCTAGACCCCTCATTGTCTTCCAAATACAATCAACTCTGTCCTCGGCCTCCCAAACGCCCTGTGCTCTGATTCTTGCTACCATCTCTGACCTCACCCCCTGCCACATGCCCGTTTGCCCATTCCGCTCTGGACACCTTGCGCTGGCTCCTGCTTTCTCCAACCCCAAGGATTTTACCTCTTTCTTTCTTTTTCTTTCTTTCTTTTTCTTTTTCTTTCTTTCTTTCTTTTTTTTCTTTCTTTCTTTCTTTCTTTCTCTTTCTTTCTTTTCTTTCTTTCTTTCTTCTTTGTTTCTTTCTTTTTTAAGATTTTCTTTATTTATTTGACAGAGAGAGACACAGCGAGAGAGGGAACACAAGCAGGGGGAGCGGGAGAGGGAGAAGCAGGCTTCCCGCCGAGCAGGGAGCCCGATGCGGGGCTCGATCCCAGGACCCTGGGACCATGACCTGAGCCAAAGGCAGACGCTTAACGACAGAGCCACCCAGGGGCCTGATTTTACCCCTTTCTATGGCTCCTGTCTCCTCCTCCCCTTTGGTCCTCAGCTTACAGTAGGCTGTCTTCTCAGAAAGAAGTCCGACCCAGTAGCTCTATTTTGAGTAGGTGCCCTCCTATTTATTATCTCTCACAGCATCTTCTTTCTTTTCCTCCATCTGTCAATATTTTATTTGTTTTCAGGTTGGTTGGGTTTTCTTCCCCACGCTTGAAAGGCAGGTCCTGAAGAGCAGTTGGCAGCCAAATCCCCAGCGTCTCATCAGTGCCAGCCCATGGTCAATGGTTCAATAAATGGTTGGTGGATGGATAAATATTTGTGTGAAGGGAAAAAGGAAGGAGAGGTGGATTCTGACACCAGGGGACAGGGTGACATTGCTGGTGTTGGAAGGCCTTCACAAGCTCCTCTGGAAGGAACCCCACCCCAGGGTCTGTTGGGAGCCTCCCCCGGCAGCTCGCCCCTCCTGAGCCCCAGATCAGCTCTGAATCAGTCCCCATGACTCAAAGAAATCTGTGGGTGTGCATGGGTAGAGGAAATTGCCACAACCTAACCGGCCAGACTCCAGTCTGTCTGTCCTTGCCCTTCACTTGGCCTCAGAGAACTGCTTAGTGAGCTCATATTCAGCAGTCTGTCCTGAGAAGTGCCCAGGTGTGACACTGCCCATCTCTAGACCCTCCGCTGGGCTGGGTGTCTGTCCCCACCCTCAGTGCTGATTCTAGCACTGCAGAATGTTCCTTTCTCGGGGAGGATTCCTGGCAACTCCCCTGGGTTGGGGTGAATTGAGTTGAGAGCAGGCAGGCCTCCCCCCCCCCCCCCAGCTGAGCCATACCAGCAGCCAGAGACCTCACTAACACCACGGACCTGTTCTTTCTGGACAAATGCCCTTGTGGATACAGTAAAGCCTGTGGAAATCTTATCCACTGAACCCAATTAAGTCATTCCCCTACTCTGGGAGCTTCCTGGAGGTCTCAGGATATAATCATGGTTGCCTCCAAGGTATTCTGATGATCTCAGAGAGCAAGCAAGCCCTGGGCCACAGAAAGCCCAGGGCCAGAGAGAAGATAGGGGTACACTGTTTCTCAGTGTGAGGTCCTGCCCAGCAGCATCAGCATTACAAACTTGTCAGAAATGCACATTCTCAGGACTCACCTCTGATCTAGGGAACCGGAACCCCAGCTATTTTAACACATCCTCCAGGTGATTCTGATGGCACACTCCAGTTTGAGAACCTCAGATTTAAAGGGCTTGGACCAAAGGCTCTGGAAATAGTGGACACACACAGACTGGGAAGTCCCAGCCCTCCTTCCTGCCTCCTCCCTGGTGACTTCAGGCAACAGACTGAGTATCTGTGTCCCCTCAAAATTCACAAATTGAAATCTAGTCCCCAGTGGGATGGTATTTGGAGATGGGGCCTTTGGGGCGAGATTAGATTCCACTGGCGAGCTCTCATGAACGGAATTAGTGCCTTTATGAAAGGGACCCCAGTGAGCTCCCTCGTCCCCTTCCACGTGCGGGGACAGAGCCGAAAGAGGGCTTTTGTGTGAACCAGGAAGTGGGGCCTCACCAGACGGCAAATCTGCGCCTTGATCGGAGACCTCCCAGCCTCCGGAACTGTGAGAAATAGGTTTCTGTTGTTTCTAAGCCCCCCGCCCCCACCACCATGGTGTTTTGTCATAGCAGCCCCAGAGGACTGAAACACCACCTCATCTTGAAAGTGGAAACACGCAATTCCTGGCTAGGACCTAGCATAAGGCATGTCCCCTCTCGGGAGACCAGAGTTTTCACTGGTAAGATGGGGATAAGCTCACACCGACCGAAAGGAGGTGCGGTGAGAGCCAAGGAGATAATGGGCGAGAGGACCTTGGTGCACCATGCGCCTTAGCTCCTAACCAGTGGTACTGACAGTGTTAACTGCACAGAGGATGTGAGGGTGAGATCTTTATGATGTTCTTGGTCTGGGCCTCCCCACTAAGGCTGAAAGACGTGTGAGAGAGAGAACAATACCAAAATGAACGCCCTGAGCACCGAACCAGGCTGGGTATTTGTTTCCCTGAGTTCACGGTAATTCCCACTACTAAAGTCATCGTTGTCGCCACCTGCTGGTCCATCCTGGTACCACGGGGAGCTTCGCCCCCGACTAGAGACCCGGGGTCACCTTTCAACAGCCACTTCCTGAGAGCCTCCTGGGGGAACTCGACCTGGGCGGACAGGCGCTAGGGACCTGCTGAAGAATACAACACAAAACAGCACAAATGGCTGATAAACACACAAGACAAAAAGTTTAAATTCGTTTGTGATCAAAGAAATGCAATTTTAAAGAACCTTTTCATCAATTAGATTGGCAGATAAGATAAGTGTTCAGCGATGGCCAGGGTGTGGCTGTGCCCTGGGGAGGGATGGAGGAGGGGGAGGGGAGGCCACAAAGCAGCTCAACCCTCACAACTGGGGCACATCCATCCAGCACCCTGA